CGGGGGGGCACACAACGATGAGTCCATCGTCTCAATGCAACCAAACCCAGAGTACTCGAAAAAAGAGAGGGTGGCAAAGAGCAGTACGACATTGCGATAACCAATAATAAGTACACATCAGCGTACCGCGCGGTACGTGCTGGCAAGAGCTTCTGCACGTTGACGAAGCTGGAGATGCTTGTGTACTGGCACGGTTGGGGCTGTGACGGCGTCCTCATAACCAAACGAGGCTGTCTCGTTGACTGAGCAGAGCGCGATTAAGTGAGGAAACAACAAGTTCAGGGGAAGTGTCGCTCCCACGTGAAGACAAAACAAAGTCGAAGAGGCCATTCACTCGGATGCAAGCATACCATCTTCCGTTGAACTGGCCTCGGCAATTGACCTGAAGCACATGCACACGCGGAAAACATGGAGGCAGGAGTGAGTGAAGAGCATAGCGTTGAAGAATGCTACAGACAACAGCAGTCTATGAAGATGCGAGGCGTAGCACCTACAGGGGCACGCTATCAAAGGCCGCACGGATGTCCTGCGCCGTGTACATGGCCACTACAACATGACAGACAAGCCCGGCAAGGAAAGTTCCAATGAGTAACGGCTTGAGGATAGATGCCCGAAAAATGACAAAATTTGATACGCCAGCTTACAGCCCAACTCTGAGCCAGAGGTAGAAGCGTCTAGTGCCTCGCAGCCATCCTCCGAACCGTCTTGAGCATTGGCGACGGCAATGGTGAAATTGGTGACTGGCTGGAGGAGCTCCACAAGATTATCAAAAGCTGGTTTGTCCGGGAAACGCGCTTGAAGCGTCATGCGTAGATTTTGCAAGTCGTACATGAAGACGGCCAAGGAGCGACGCATCAACGTTCGATCACAGGTGGCGGTGGATGTAGACACCCCTTCCATCACCTCCAGCGATGGCGTGCGCCACATCGTCAGGATGCGACTGGCATTGCCGTGATGCTCATCATACTGCTCTTTGACAAACTGCTCAAAGGGATTGCCAACATGCATCATGCCGTAAAACATAGACTTGATGGCCCCGGCCAGATGCTTGAGCCAAGTGCTCTGCGCCGAGTCCGGCATGGTCTAACAATCATCAATGCAATACTGAGAGTGAGGAGCAACGTTACAAACCACACAAACTTCCAAGCGCCATTGAGGGATCGTTGCCAAGGGGGCTTCACCTGAGTCAAGCCCGACGTGTGGGGTGCAGAGATGGCTGTGCACAGAAATTGGAAAATGAGAACAGAGGTAATCTGGCGATCAATCTGGACTGGAAAGTCCTGGCGAAGGGCCGTGGTCAGTAGCACACAGAATGTTCGCACGCGATGTGGAAATTGATCCTACATGAGCCACAAGTAAGCATGAGGCGACCAGCATGAGCATGGTCATGAGGAGGTTGAACCTTTGTACACGCCCACGTAAATTCAACGAACCGCAGCAGCAACAATACGGCCCCAAATGTCACTAAAATGCTGCTTGAGGCGCTCCACGTGTTGCTCTCGACAGGAAAATCCAGCCACCTGTTGAGATATCAGAGCAAACCAGAGTTTCAAGTCAAGACTACCGGCACTTTTGGAGCTGCACTGGCAAGAAGCTTTGCAGCAAGATCCACCAACGCACATTGCACATGCCCAGTTCTTCAGCGGTGTGCTGAACACTTAGAATGGAATCGCCAAGTGTGGCAAGAAGCCAGTTTTGGGCAAAATAAAATACGTAGGCGTGAAGCAACATGGTGACAGGCTCATTGCGCCGTCCGGCGGAGTCAATGCCATCCTTTGTCTGCATGGACCCGGTCAATAACACATGGTGAGTGTGGGAGAATCAATATGCAGAAAAGAGTTGGTGTGGTCGAGAAGAGGTGGCACAGGTTGGCCCACCTGGGTTTCGCGTTCAAAAAACTGTCGTAGGAGCTTGACGAGCCAACGTTCAACGAGGTCACCGCGGTTGACAAAAACGGCAAGAAACCCACGCAGAAAGCGCAGCAGGGGCTCGTGCCGGTGACGGATGTTGCGGATCTGCCCAAAACTTTTGGACAAGATGTCGACGATCGACTCGTAATACGTGTCACCGTGTTGGTCAAACCAGTGCAGTACGGGCTCGGCCAATTGCAGAGGGTACATGATCACAATCTTGGGCTCCAAGCTGGACGATTCGTGCAAATGTAACGCATAGAAATGAGCAAAGTGCAGGTCGATATGGGGCGGGGGGTTGAATTCTCTGAATATTTCACGTGAAACGTACGAGGCAGAGAGAATAATAGGCTTATTCCCTTTCATTTGCACTTTCTTCGAGGCTCGAGCATAGTTGGAGGCTAGACCAAAGGGCAGCGTGGCTTCCGCAATGGTCTCCTTGTCCTTTTTGTTGCAGCGGACGACGCGGGCCTGCGTGCAGCAATAAAAGTGCCCCCAATTAGTAGCGAAAGGGGCATAAGAATGTGGGCGCGCCTCGCTCAAACAATGATGCACATTCGCTTGCAGGGGCAAAGACACACCGTAATGGCGGATTGGAGATGACGGCGACTGATGCGCATCCAGTCCAACACAAGTCCGTCGTCCAGTGAGAGACTTGAAGTCTGTGTGGGTTGTGCCCAAAGGCAAAAAGACAGCTGTCTTGAGTGTTTAGGACCCATGAACATCGCTAAGCTTGCGGCACGCACCGTGGATTGCCGGGGTGGCGTCATTGCATGAGGGAAGCCACGAATGTGCACGACAACGGAGAGCTCAACGGGCTTGTTCGACGATCTTGTCAACGGTCTTGTCCAAGTCAAATCCTTGAGCTAACGGCAAAAGGTTGAGAGGCCGTACAAGTCAGCGGCCATTCAAATGACGATGGAAGATAGAGCACAGGATACAGGAAGACAAAATTGCACACCTCGATCAAAAGCTCGCGGAACATTACGATTCCGCCGTGTTGCGGTGCTGTCCAAAATCCATCGAGGGAGAAGGCAAGAAACGGACAATGGAGAGTAGCAAGGGAGGGTCAATGACGGTGACGCTTCAACATGATGGCCAGCAAAGGCACAGCAGACGCATACGAACCGGCTTGAAACCGCTTACAGCCGGCCACCCACTTGATTTGTGACCAATAATCATTGACACGACACAAATAACTGTAAACACGATTGCTAGTGAGCACCTCAAAAGGAAAACAGAAGAGGAGAGGGGAGGAGCCTTGTATTTCCGTCGGACGTCCGTTGGGGACAAGCATGACAGACCGTGTGTTGGCAAACTCAATGGCAAAAACGTGTTGCAACTGCGGATCGTAACGAAAGATGCTTCGATGAACCGCATAAAACTGGGAATAAGGAGCACGGCAGTGTCGCATGAGAACTGCACAGGCGCCGCGGATTTGCAGGTGTGAACAACAACATGCACGGGGCACTGACGTCACAGTTTCGAATGTCGATCATCGTGAGACCTTCGTCACAAGCAGCCTTCTTAGATTGCGCGCTTCGTGGCCGGAAGATTCGCTTTCGTGACTCTTCGACTAAGAGTTTGCAGCATCACGTTAATTGAACCGAGTGAAAAAGTACACAGAACAAATGAGTTGATCGTGGCAAGCAGTGCTGGGCCCCAGTGCTGCCATACAGCCAGCATGTGAAGCGTGGGCTTACCCTCCGCTTGCTGAGCAAACGAGAGCTCATCGCCCTCTGATTGTGAGGCCTTTCCCAACTAAAAAGAAACACGTTGCAAGAGGGCGGGAAGAATGATCAGCAAGGACGAGCCAAGGCAGCGGGGATCAAGTTGATCTGTATTCAATAGGTGCTTGGCATAAACATACAAACAACACGGGCTGGTTGACGTCAGAAAACAGAGACGAGGCACCTAAAACCGGGGCAAGAAGGGACACATATGGGACACGGTTTAGACAAGGGCACTCCGTCACTATTTTCTCGGCCAGCGTCATACAAGGCATGTTTGTGTGAAGGGGGCACACCACGTACGAGTGTCATAAAGCATGGCCTCCTGAGAGCGCAGGAAGAAGCAGCATGCAGAGCGACAAAGAGAGAACAGGTGAGGTGGTGCATCATCGGGTGCCACACCATGTCTCGTGCTTTGATGAGGGAGAGAAAACCATGTTCGTACGCGAGTTGGGGCAATGCCAATGCGGCCTTGATGGGGCTCGACGACGACGTAGCGACGGCGCCATGCTGAGGCAACAAGAAAGATCAGAGAAAAAGCATGTTTGATGGAAGGTGAGAGCACAGTAAACAAGAGACCACGGCAGCGGTGTTGAGCTCAAGACGTTGACTGTATCACGAATGGCAAAGGCTGGTGTCAGGGCAAGTTTACCTCGCGTGCTGTAGGAGTCTTTAATGGGACATGTGTTGGGACCCTAAGCAGCGTTACAAAAGAGATGAGGAGGGATGACCGTTGTGAGCGGTAGAGAAAGATGCGGCAACAATCGAAAGGAGAACAAGTACCTCATCTAGGAGGTAAACCCAGCCTTCGATGCGGCTGAGTACTCGGTCGCCATTCATGTTTTCGGCAGAGAAGGAACTATCGGAGATACAGCTGCCCTTTGAGAGAGCAGACGTGTAAACGTCAGCTGTGGATGCTCCTGCCTCGTCGCATTCCACTGTCATGCCTTGAACCATGGCAATAACGACCAGTAAGGAAGGGGAGAACACAGCAAAAGGCATTGATGCAGGGCAAAGGAAAAGGGGTTCTGTCTCGAGGAAGATAATAGGACGGAGCATGCAGCACGCACACATGCGCGTGCGCAGACGTACGGGCGGTGTGACGACTTGAGGGGCGCGAGGGCAGCTGATCGAATGGGAGAGACACGGCAGCGGTTGCTGGGCTTTCCGAAAGGGGACCGAGACTAGAGGTGGGGACTGGCAGGCCGACCGTCTTCGACATAAGGTCACTCGCCAAGGGCCATTCCGGCCACGATGAGAGAGAGCATCGAAAAAGGTAGGGGTTTGAGCCAGCAGGAGGTAAACAGACTCGGCGACGGGTTGCCAACTATCAAGACAAATGAGGTACACGGTGAGCGGAAGATGCGCGAGCGAACGCCCATTGATGAGAAAAGGAAAGGGATAGGCGATGCATTTTTTTTTTTTTTTTGGGACGTAGGGCTCGGTGGGACAAGCAGAGAACCAACCAGGATGCAAGAGGCAAAAGAGGTCGGAAGGGAGACGCGCTCGTTCAGCTTGTGTCGTGCGCTGGAAGGTGGGACATGGAGCGGCGGTCAGGGTTTTCGCAGCACAACCAGGGATGATACAAAGGCATCAAGTGACAGTAGCATGTGGCGGTTGTGTGTGAGAGTGTGGGGAGATGGGTAGGAGTGCGAAAAGGTCTGGAGAAAGAACGGGCAGAATGACATGAACAGGAGGAGGGAGGTGTTGGTGTTGGTGTTGGTGTTATGTAGAGGTAGTGGTGTTGGTGGCGGTGATGAGGGCTAGAGACTTGCTGGTGCTGTCAGCCATCCAAGTGCAGAGCGAGGTTGGGGTGGGCTTGAGTGTCGCGCTGTATTCTTTCTCTCGCTCGTGTGGATGTGAGGAGGGTCTTCACTCAAGGAGCGAGGGTGTCTGGAGCAGCTGTGAAGGCATTGCAGCGCGAATGACCCTCAAAGAGGGCACCGCGCTGTGCAGTCAGGGGGATTCATCGACGTACCTGTGGTCTCGGCACAGCGGCTAGCAACGTCGAGGGCGCTGTGCTCAAAGCTGCACACAGTGGGAAAGGGGACGGACGATGTCGGCAGACCAACAAAACGGGCAGACAAGGCCGGGTACGATAGAACCAGCAAGATGTCGAATGCAACACCATGGAATTCTACCGCCCAGACGAGAGAGGGCGGAAGAGAGGGAGGGGGAGAGAGACACCAGTACACAGCCAGCCAGCAGCGGGCACCAGACTGTCAAGCGTCGGGGTCGTTGAAATGAAAAAAAAAAAAAAAATCTCAAAGAGACAGAGAGACAGAGAGAGAGAGACAGAGAGACAGAGAGCGACAGAGACAGAGACAGACAGAGAGACAGAGACAGAGACAGAGACAGAGACAGAGACAGAGACAACAGACAACAGACAGACACAGAGAGAGACAACAGACAACAGACAGACACAGAGAGAGACACACACAAAAGAGAGACAAAAGAGACGAAACAAAGAAACATGACAAACTTGAGAGAGTGGGATGTACGTTGGGTGGAAGAGAAGAGAAAGGTGTGAATTTGTGGGGACGGCCAGAGAGTGAAGCTCATCAACCCTTTGTCAACCTTACGTGGATGTAGCGTTTCAGAGACAAAAGCGTCACGGGGTATCGCCCCAGAGAAACTGTCTCAAGGCAAGAAAAAGCGCAGAGAAGCGTGCAGCTATGACATCAATTTGGAAAGAGGCACGGTCGCCTTGGTTGCCTCACGGCGCCATAGCCAACCGCATACAGTCACGACTCCATACCAAAGACGCACCTCGCGAAACAACAAGCAGCACAACCGGGCAAGATGGTTGGGGTACGCGCGCACGCACGAGAGGTGCCGTTTGAAATACAGGCGGACGAGCCATACTCGAGACCTTGCTGCCGAGACCTTGCCCCCCATCCCCCCCGCCCACCATCATCATCATGTCCGGCGTGTCAATCGCCCGCCAGAGACGCCATCAATCAGGGCTGTATGGGAGGAATGAGGCGACAGTGAGCCCTGACTCCAAGCGCTGCCGTGATCATGACGACGCGATGCTGCTGCCCATAACATTCTTGTTGCGTTGGGAGAGGTCCGCCCAGGCACACAGACTACCTGGTGACTGCACCCAAGTGAAGCCGCCTCGGGGGTATGAATTGATTGATAACACTTGCTTTGACCGGGCAGGCGGCGCCCGTCTGCCCGCCCGACTCGAGGGAGAGAGCGGGCCAGTCACACAGAGCAGCAAAAGCATGTCAATGTTGGGGCAGTCTCTTCCCTATGAACTGCAAGGGCCGTATGGACGGTTTGTGGGTGTGGTGGGTTAGGTGGGTGCGGTGGGTGTGTTGATGGGGGTTCGGATTGGTTTTTGTTGGGGGTTGATGTGAATCACAAGCTGGGTGGTAAAGTGACGATACGGGTGGTTTGGGGTGGAGTGGATCTAACCCCCATGCGCTTCGTGACTGGTACGTCTTGGTTGTCATGATGTCGGACAGCGTCGACGGCCACACCCACAAAACCAATAAACTGCAAAATAAAAAGGGGAGAATGGAATACAACTTCGCGGCCCGAATGGACGCTCGTAAGCAAGCTGAGATGACGCCGGGCATTGCGCTTGGGAAGCGACGGCTTGTGACCGCCTGGTACACAAGTCCAGCTGCTAAACGCAAGCACCTCGGAATTTGCGCAGCCCACGAGGGTTGAGCACGCCGCTGTGCAACGGACCACATAAATTAAGGCACATTTTCCGAAGAAAAGTCCTTTTGCACAGCACATGGCTCGTACAGCATGCTTAAAGTTCTCATACGTGCTCCTCCTGTCAGGGTGGCGATCTGATGGGGGTCTTGCTCAAGACCAGCACACCGCTGCATATTCCCTATACCAGCCTTGACCCAGATCGGTGGCGCAGGAAGAATCGTGGCTCTACTCCCGATACAGTTATGCCCGACCACATGCCCAGAACAGAGCGGGACACTTCATTCCGTTGAGTCAAAAAGGAGGGGGCTCGTATCATCCCAACACATCCCAGCTCGCCCGGCCTTTGGGTTTGCCCTTTGCTGCAGGCGCTTTTTTTTACTGTTAAGAAAAAAAAAATTCAAGCAATGACCAATTTCACAGCAGGGACTGGTCTTCATCTATACCCGTCGAGCCATGGAGCGGGAAGTTTGCACCTCTGATCAAACCCATGCGAACCACATTCTTTCAAAAGACGGATGTAGATGCTTCACATGTTAATTGGGCCGTCTACTTGGTATCCTGCACCGTCACCTCTGCAGTGCCCTCCGGAGTACTTGCCACGGGATCCGACTTGACGTAGGCTTCGAGCGTCGTGATGGTCACCCCCGCGGCCTGCAGACCGGCTTCAGCCTTGGCGATCCCTTCTGTATCAATGCCCCTACAACCATCGCTCACCACTGCGTCGCGTGCGCACACCAAAATGAGCAACTCTGGACCATTTTGCCCAAACGCCACCAAGCCCAGAGGCTGGATTCTCATCCTCACTCAGCCTCCAAAGACACGACTGACCAACAACATCAAAGCCGGCCTTCTTGCCGTCGTGGGCCGTAAATGCCACGCAAACGTCATAGGCCAAGCCCACCACCACGATGCGCTCCACGCCCAAGGCTGACAACCGTGCTGTCAAGCCAGTATCACTCGTTTTGCTGTTGTCAAAAAACGCGCTGTACGAGTCCACCAACCTATCACAACATTGCGCACCCAGTCGGACACATGTATAGTCAAGCATGTGAGAGCCCGTGGCGCTCAACACGTCAAAAGAGTGTTGCGCTGGTCCACAGCCTGCCCTTACCGGTTGGTACCCTTGCACACATATTCATCAGAAGGCAGAACGTGCAAATCCTTGGCCAAGTCGGCACCAGGCGTATCCTGGACGCAGTGGGCTGGCCACAGTGTTTGCTTGGTCCCATCGGCCAACGTGACCTATACATAAAAGCTCAAGTTGTCAGCAACAAGTCCTCCGCGCCGTTCCTGATGGGACCCCGTATACAATCGACGAGAACACGAGAAATGGAAGGGAGAGCACACTTGACGCCAGACACTCAAGCTTAACCAACCTCATCAAAGGGCTTGAGGCTTCCATGACGAGGGCGGTCTACTTCGGCTAACTGCTCGGGGGCCGCGTTGCCGGCAAATGACACATGATCGGCCGGGTGCCAGTCCTACACACACAAAGAGAGGAAGTGAACGTGCTTCGAATCAGCACGAGCTTGGTGGGGGATGCTCACAACTCCAGCCACCACCAGCAAAGAGCCATCGCGCAAAGGTAAGGCTCCGGGTCAACAAACCTTTGACACAAAGACAACGTCAAAAGCCGCCCGCGCGCGCAGCTGATTGATCACAGGCACGACGGCGGCTCCATCCTGGTGTGCAGCGCAGGCAGAGAGGGCCAGCGACCCGGTAATAAAGTCGTTTTGGACGTCAATGATCAAGAGCGCTGTCGGCGCATGCTATTCAAACCCAAGTTGTTGTGTACCCGTGGTGAGACGTCGGGCCCGTACGCGCGCCAAACGACGCAATGCGACGATTTGAAACGTTGACATGACAAGAGCAGGCGAGGCGGCTGCAGGTAACCAACGCGATGCGACAGCCAAAGTTGCAGGCATTGGCGGAAGGAAAGCGCCAAATAGTCGTCTGACTTGGGGGCCTTGTCCAGACAAGCGCGCACTTGCTCAAGCTGCTCGGCCGTCAGCCTAGGCTGTTGCAGGGCCTTGGCCAAAGCTGCCATGGCTTCCGAAAGGCGGGCAGCCTCAAGGACCGTTCTACTCGGGCGACCCAGAAGGCGAATCAATCCGATGCGCTACCATGAAGATTTGCACAAACATCCATTCAGGCCGTACTCGTGCACCCAGTCATCGTTGGTGGTCTCGGTCGAGGCCGGTGTCATGGCCCGCGTATGGGCCAGATCAATCAGATCAGCCCGATGGGCCGGTGACTTGATGACGCGTCGCCATGGCTCAAACAAGGCCCGCAGCTCGCGGCGGCGGTTGTGCAACGAAGTAAATTGATTCTATCGAAGAAGGGACAGAGTGCGTGTGTGAAAGAGAAAGTGAGTGAGTATGAGTGAGAGAGTGAGTGAGTGAGTGAGTGAGGGGGAGAGGGGGAGAGGGTATCCAAAAAACCAAGGGCGGGTCACGACGTCATGCGGATCAATCGTCCGTCATGGCAGGTCTGGCTGGAAAATCAAGTCTGCATGGGATGAGCTTCGCACCGTCGTGTCCGGACGAGTGGCCGATGGATTGGTAGTATCAACACCACGGTTGCTTTGCTCAGTGCCATCGAGCACTTTGGTGCGCTTGGCCTCAGGTTCTACAGCGTTGCTCATTGTGATTCTGTTCCCAGCTCCAGCTGCTGCTTGAATGCTCGAAACCCCCTAGATTCACGCATTGTCCCCCTTTCCATAAGACAACACGAAAAAAAGCAGCCCAAATCATAAATTCCCACTCGGCCCCGTCTGCCCTTACCCTCAACCCGACAAGAAACCCCCCTGCCGTACCTCAAACAGCACAAATGCACCAAGGCCCCACCCGCCCTCGGTCTTTGGCAAACTGCTCCACGAGCAAAAGTGCGCGTGTGTGTGTGTGTGTGTGTGTGTGTGTGTGTGTGTGTGTGTGTGTAGAAGAAGCTGCCCTGTTGTTCTCAACTGCTGTTGAAATATCTAGTCTGACAACTTGAAATCGTCAGAATAGGTGTTCTCAACATCGAGGCTCGAGCGGGGGTCAAACATGCCATTGACGCTAGAAGCAGACCCCCACTGAAATTTTCTGGCCGGTCAGGCCTTGGCCAAATTTAGCTGACATTTCATGGTGGTGTGACGCTGGCAAGCATTTGCTTACCTTGTTCCTGCACACAGGTATGACGGTCGTCAAAGTGCTCGACGTGTTGTGTCGTGCCCTGTCGGCGCAATGGCAGCGCTGTTGGAGCACTCGCGCCACTGGCAGGCCGGAGCACTTGTGGTTCGGCAAGAGAGGCTTCGATGCGATGGAAGCATCCGCCGATGAAGGAGGCAAACGTTTGCCTTTCTCTTCGTGTTTTGCCTCGTTTGCTGCGTGTCTTTCTGGCAACATTCGTCACTGGTGCTGCTGGCCAGAGTGGCAGCGTCGTTGAAAGCCTACTGGGCCATGAATCCGCCGACGCCCGCTTGTTGTTTTTTGGTAAATGCACCATGCCTTCTTGATACCTCATGCGTCGATCCACTATCGCTTGTGCTGCTTGCAGAAACCCCTCGACAAACACACACACACACACACACAACATGGCTGACGAAGGTCTAACACCAGAGGAGCTTGCCTTCAAGAAGAAGTATGGTCGCTTGCCGCCCAAGAAGAAGGCCGGCAAGGGTCCTCTTGCCCGTCTCCATGGCAAGGTATTTTGGCCAAATTATCTCTCATTGACGAGCTGCTCGACACGCACACACCGCCTGTGCATTCTTTTTCACTTCCTTTTCCTTTTTCTTCCTTTTTTATTCATGGTTGTGTTGTCGGGCAGGAACGCAAGTATTTTGACTCAGCCGACCACGCCATGAAGTCTGCCGGTCTTGACGCAGAAAACGGCAACGTCATTGCCAACCCAGAGAACATTCCCAACCGCGGTGCTTCACAGCCCTCGCACATGGTTCGTCTTGCCTCGACTGGAAATATGTTTTCATCATGATGCTGTGCATCATGATGCTGTGCATCCTGCCTCTTGTTTTGATTGTGCTCCTGAGCCTTTGATGCTGAACAACAGCGTCTCGACTCACTATTGGCCTGTTCTACCCCGTCCATCGTGGCAGGTGCGAGGCACAGCGGCCGAGGATGAAGGTGAAGAGGCCGCCTCCGCCGACCCCGTCGACGTGCACTCGTGAACATAAACCCGCCTTCCCTAGCCTCTTCCCTTGCGCAGCCTGTTTGTTGGTTATTTTGTTTGTCTCTTTGCTGACCCTGTTTGTCTCACATTCGAGCGCTGGCCTCTTGCGGTGCTACTGGACGTACACCCGCGTTCCCACCCTGGCCCATCCTGTTGACCTGGGCGCCTCTCCTTACTTGCTGTATGATACAAGAAGGAATCGTCAGGCCCGCTCTGCTTGTCTCTGCATTTCTAAAGAAAGCTTGAACGACGTTTTCACTTACACCCGTCCCGTGTCTTTGGTTCACTCGTCTTCCAATGTTCACCCATTTGGACTTCTCGTCACAATCCCATGGAAGTTGCCACTCTTTTGGGTAATCGAACCGCTACGCTCGAACCACGCATCTTGATGCCCCGGCCCGACCTGTTCCTTCATCTCAACAAGAATTTCAAAGAAACGATGGTGCCCAAACGCATTCAACAGAGAATGAAAGATGTGTACTGAAGCACAATAGAGAGTGAAACCAAATTCGTAGGTCGGATTAAAAAAAAGGCAAGGATTGAACAAAAATAAGCCCATGGCAAAAAAACAAAGAGAAGGTACGGCAATGGAGAGGGTGGTGCCCTGCTCGCGCGTGAAGCCGCTAGCATACATGGGCCTCCGTCACAAGGAGCGGGCATTGACCAATCAATCAAGCCTGTCAAGTCTAGTTCTTGTCATCACCGCGGCTGGGAATGTTGACCCGGCGCTCCGAGCCAGCCCCACGAGATGAACGCCAAACGTTATCGCCACTGGGTTTGTCCGCGCCACCAGACGGGACATGCAGCGCTCGGCGCTCACCCGATGTTCGACCCGCCTCTGAACGACCAGAAAAGTCGCGAGGGCCTGAGCGGCTAGGCTCCGAACGACCCGAAAAGTCACGGGGGGCACGATCACCAAGACCGGAGAACGAACGGCCCGTATCACGGGGAGCACGATCACCACGATCGCCAAGACCAGAGAATGAACGGCCCGTATCACGGGGAGCACGATCACCACGATCACCAAGACCAGAGAATGAACGGCCTGAGTCCCGCTCGCCGCCACGAGAGGGACGGAAAGGCTGGGAGCGACCGGAATCGTCCGAGGCATCACCCTTCCATGACGAAACGCGCATCGATGACGGCGCAGCCGTCGTGGGCGCATCCGAGCGCGCGGAGCGCTTCCAGGTTGGTTGAGACGTCTGGGCACTCAAATTTGAAAGCTACAGTCATAAAAAACAGAAAGGTCGGTGAAAGAAAGGCATGGAGGCGCACGCACACACCTACATCCAGATACACACGAGGAAGCACGCTTGAGAAACAAAATGAACAAACCTTCTCCTGCTCGCGAGCGCGCACTTGCTCCTCGCGCTGGCGCTGCAGCTTGGTTGCCTCCTCCATTTTCTTGCGCTCAGCCTCCTCGAGCTTGAGCTGCTCTTGACGCTCCTGCTCGCGTTTAGCCTCACGCTCACGCTGCTTGCGGTCTTCCTCCTCTTGTTTAATGCGGCGTTGCTCCTCTTCTTCAGCACGGCGCTTCTCCTCACGCTTGCGCTCACGCTCCTCGCGTTCCAAACGAATCTTCTGCTCCTGCATACGCTGCTTAAAGTCATCCAACTTGGCCATGTACTCCTTGCGGCGCTCGGCAGTCTTTTCCTCAATGTAAGCATCCTTGTCAGGAGCAAAGGCCTTCAACAATTCCTTGAGGCCGAGGGCCTTCGCGTGGTCCACACGAGCCTTCTCGAGGCGAGCCGACTGCAGCTCGGTGTGCCACTTGGCGTTTTGCTCGGACATGGCGGCAATGTGTTCCTTGCGGCGCGGAATTTCGCGCAAGCGCTTGGCACGCTCCATGTGATCCAGCCGCTTTTCCTCGGCGCGCAGGCGCTCTTGGCGTTCGCGGGCATCCTTCTTTTGTTGCTCGTAGGCCATCTTGTGGATGTCTTGCGCAGTAATCTTGGTACCCAGGTCGCTCTTGTTAAGAGCCTGGACCACCTTTTGGCCAGCTGAGCTGCTCGACACGTCATTGAGAGCCTCAAGAGCCTAAGAACAGCGCCAAATTTTGTGAGCAATTATTGACAGCGCTAAACGTACGAGAAGTCAAACACACGAGAGACGGGACAAATGGGCAAGTATCAAGTGGGAATAATAACCCGAACAAATCAACGCTCGACCAATTTGAACTTTGCTGCAGACCAAGGCCGCGGCACGAAGGAACAGGTCGAATGGCAAGGATGGATACATTGCACCCACAACAAACACCCACAGAAAACTCCACAACAGTAACCCGGAATGACTTGGAAGAACACCAAGCCAGATGCATCGTAATCACTATGCTCACCTTTTGGCGCTCAATCTCCTCGCGCTGAAGCTGAAGCTTTTGACGCTCGAGCTCCTCTTGGTTCTTCTTGACGGCCTCAGCCATCTTTTGACGCACTTGCATCTGGTTTTGGTGGTGCTTTTGCATTTGCTCCTGGTGGCGACGACGACGAGACTGCTCAAGCTCCTCCTTTTGCTTCTCAATCTCGTCGCGACGAGACAGGTTGCTGACATGCTCACGGGCCACTTCATCCTTGATACGATTGATGGCCTTAACGCCCATCTGGGACTCTTGGACAACCGCGGGCTTGATCATGTTGATGGCAGTGTACAGACGGCGGCTCAGCGTAGTCAACTGGCCGTTCATCATCTCAGCCTGAAGGTTTTGCAGCTTGGGTCCGTCGTTGACCTGGCGCTCGTTGAAAGCAAAAATGTTGTTGTTGAAGTGCAGCGAACCACGGGCGTGGTCAATGCGCAGCTGCAACACCTTGTCCTGCACGGCGTGCACCAGAACCTCCTCACACTCCTCTGGAGTCATGAAGGAAGCCAGCTTGAAGCAGCGCTCAAGCTTCAGGCTGGAGTACAACTGGGACAGCTATCAAGTCAATCGCGCCAACAAGGAAAACCATATGGTGAGGTCATGCGTGGCACTAAGGCATGGCAGCCACACTCGGAAGCAGTAGAATCGGACGGATGTATGTCACAGCATCATGATTTCAATGCGAGAGTCGGGAGCTCAGAAAAGTGATAGAAAAGTTTAAAAGCACGGCACAAGGCCTCATACAATGTAGGTAAAAGTAAACATCATAGCCAAAACTTCTCGCAAAGAAAGATGCAAAAGGACCCGTCCGCCAGACCCGAGCAATGGAAGGAAAAATCGGAAAAAAAGGCTTGGCACGTAAATCTTGAACATACCTGTTTCAAGAGACGAAGAAGCAGGATGTACTTGAGGGGAGTCACGTACTGAGCAAACTGCTCGTGGCTCTTGAGAAACTCAAGAACAGGGGCTGCCTTTTGTGACAGTTGCAGGGGATCAAACTCGTCCTCCACCAGGTTGTAGAGGTCCTTCAGCGCTGGGTGGACGTAGGTCATGACGTTGAGGTCAAACATGTACTGGAGCAACTCGTCGCGCGAAGGCATGCGGCTGAGGCCCAAGAGACCGGCCAGGCGCTGTTGACGGCTGGCACGGACTTCAGGGAGATAGCCCTCCATGGGTTTGACCATGGTGTCCAGATTGGCAAGAGGGACTGTGAGCGAGGCCAAGAGAACGGCACTGGCAGCATACTGGATGTCGTCACGGTTGAAGCTCTTGGCGTTGCGAATGGCGTTGTCGAACATTTGATGCCAAGCAGCGGCGTGGAAGGCATAGTCCTTTGAGCGCCAGAAAATCTGGGCCAGCTTGTGGTAGTAAATGCCCCACACCGGCGGGCTGGGCTTTTCGGGAGCCGAGTCAAGCAGACCCGTCACCTCCTCCATAGCACGGAAGGCCTCCTGCCATTGCTCCAGCTTACCAGCGTAGGAGATGAGCTCAAAGCGGGTATCAAGGGAGTACTGGATGGTCTGGGGGTTGTTAATATCAATGCCAGCCTGGCCCGACTTGCTCTGGTAAGGCGTGCGCCATTGGTTCAAGTGCAGGCTGAGCATGTTGCAGAGACGACGAAACTCATTGCGGCGCTCATACTGGTGGCAAAAGCGCATGGCCTGACGAGCAGTGGCATGATAGGCATGCTCCATCTTGCTGTGGTGACGGAGAAGCTCAAGGACGGCACGGTAGGCCTCCCAGAGATACCGGAGCCAAGGCATGAGCTGGACACGGTTGGCACGCTCCGTCTCGCCATCAGCCGAGACTGCCGCCAGCAAGACCTGCTCGGGCGTCTGGGCCTCCTCCAGGTCATCGATCTCATCGTTGACGTTGGTGGCATCGCGGAGCTGCGACTGTTGCCACGCCTCGGCCACCTTGTCCTCGGCAGTCTTGAGGTAATAGCGAACCACCTGTGTCCGGCAAGCAACACGGGCACGGCAAGAAGCATGAGCGTACGTGGGCGGGCAAGCTGGAGGACCATAGGATTGCAGTGGCAAGGCATCAAAAAAATCATGGACTGGCGACGAGTGAACCATGCAAAAATGAGTGGGAATCATCGTCAGTGAGAGGAACACGTTTCTCATCAAAGCTGAGTCTTCGCACTGCAGAACACCGCCGCTGTCGCTGGACAATCGAGGTAGAACTGAGCTTGAAGAAGTCAGAGTGAGCTGAGTGTAATCATCGTTCGAAGATTTCTCCACGCAGCACAAAGCCCATCAACAACAACAACAACAAGATGTAGCAAGGACAAGGACAACTTGATAGGAAATAAATCAAGCGTTTGCGGATATGGGCCAAAGCAAGTTTTCAAGAAGAATTGTGTATGCGCATCAAATGTCAAACAAGACCGTCGTCAGTGAGAGGAACACGTTTCTCATCATGGACAAACCCGACAAGCCGGCTTGGCTGTCGCTGGACAAAACCAAACCGGCCCGATTTGGGAAGTCAGAGTGAGCTGAGTGTAATCATCGTTCGACGGAGATGATGACATTGCCAGAGAACCTTGATGGCTGATTGTATAAAGTGGTACGTGTTGTATGTGTTGTATCATGCGTGTGGTGTGTATGTGGCGGTGCCGCGACCACTGCTTGCGGGAAGCATGACCCCACCTTCTCGAGCGAGTTGACGGCAGACGTGCCGGTAACAATCTTGAACTGATAGAGACCGTCCTTGGCCTCGGGGGCTGTCAAGCAGAGCGCAACACTTGGGTGAGAGGGGGAGCGCACGTGTGTCACAAGGCTTGAAGCAGGCATTGCGCGCAGAGCTGAAGGTCATGACATCAAACCACACACCGCGCTTGAGCTGCATGCACAGGTCAAGAAACTTGATCATAATCTCTTCGTGAACAGCAGTCCATTGCCTGCGGGGCGAATCAGATCAGCGCGAGTCGCCGACTAAAATCGTCACCAGTCCTGAAGAGTCAACGAGCAAGATTTTGAATGGACCAGAGGTTACCCACTTCTTGTGTTTGGACGAGTTCAAAAGATCGTGCAGTGTCTCCAGAGCAAGGTTTGGCTTGCCGACAGCCTCCAAGTCTGTCACAACAGACCGATTAATGACACAGATGAGACATGAGAAGGGACAGATAGCAAGCCTCGTAAGTTTTCAGGTGTCGACACGCTTGGACATGATGCGCCATCGCTTACCCTCGGCGCGCTTCAGCGCATTCTTGGGCTGAAAAAACTTGTTCATGCTCATGATGGCGGTCTCCCGGCGCACACACGCGCTCGTCACTCACTGCCTGGCCACGGCAGCGTGACACCAGATCCACATATGCCACGGCATCCACAACAAGAACACGTGTGAGTCAATGTGTCACATGACCACCACGGGAGGCACGAATGGCGTCAAGCCACGAGCCACGAGCCACGAGCCACGAGCCACGAGCCACGAGCCACGAGCCACGAGCCAAGAAGATCTGCCACAAGAACAAAGTCACGACACCCTGACACAAACGGCAGCGCGGACCACCTTGCCCAGCCATCTCCCCTCACGTACACAACACCCTGCCTCCAATCAGGCCTTTCAATGGCTGCCCTCGTACCCCACCTCAACTGACTACGACCAACGAGCTCATCAACCCAAGCCCACGGCTGACCACCGCTGACTGACTCGACTGACTGGCTGGCTGGCTGGCTGACTGGCTGGCTGGCTGGCTGGCTGGCTGGTGCAGGGGGACGTACCGCCTGTGATAAGAAAAGACGGCTCAGCTACCTTGGGACCGCGCGCAACGTGGCGCGAGCTGCTGTCAAGTGTGGGGCTGGACCGTTAGTTGACCATTGGCGTGTGGTATGTGGGTGTGGTGTGTGCTTGGTCGTTTGCAACGACCACACGAACATGTGTGTGACCACCGGGGGGTCAAAACATACAATCATTATCACCACAAAAATCAATGCTCGTTGCATTCACAGTTTGTTTCGGCTAAGTTTAGTCGAACCACCTAAGATTAGCCTCGGTGGCTGTTTCCATCGCTCAACAGCTGTTCTCAACAGCGAATTCGAAGGTGAGTGTGTGTGTGTGTGTGGTGTTGGAGGCGTTTTGCGATGGCAGCGCCGTGGCGACCGCACTCTTTAATCACAGCCAGCCAATCATTCACCAGTGCAACTCGCCCTGAGTGTTCAAGCGAGGAAATTGAACAGGTACCCCAGCGCCATCCCATTGAACATCCCTTTGAACATATGCTGCCGACATACACATAAAGTGCTTTTTTCTCTTCAATAGTCTATGATAGTAACTCAGCTTTATCCAAACGCCTCAAAATCAAATCTGCAGAAACCATTCCAAAAGCGTATATAAGTGCCTCTACAAGATGCCCAGCTGGATTTGATTTTTTTTTTCTGATTTTCTCTCTCTCTCTCTCTCTCTCTCTCTCTCTCTCACCAAACCAATTCATCTCTCTCTCTCTCTCTCTCTCTCTCTCTCTCTCTCTCTCTCTCTCTCTCTCTCTCTCTCTCTCTCTCTCTCTCTCTCTCTCTCTCTCTCTCTCTCTCTCTCTCTCTCTCTCTCTCTCTCTCACACAACGTCAGTGACTTTTATTTTTTTTCTCTCTCTCCGTCTCGTATGTGTTCGGGGCGCACTCGCCAGGAAGAAGGCGTGAAGCACTCAAATGCACGATGGATCAGGGCATGTGCTGAGCGTCCGTCTTTGGTACAGAGGTCTCACCTTGGTTTGTGTTGCGACGATACGTGCTTGGACGCGTTGACAGAATCCCATTCAGCTGCGACCCAGCCATCATGTCTTTTGAGCGCAGTGAGTCTTGCGCATCCAGCGCCTCCTTCCCGATGATACTCGTTCACATACTATTGCTTGCATGGTTCTCTACTTGCCACTCATGCCGTGCCACTCGATCACAGAGCATGCCTACTTGCCCGTGCCCGATGTGGTGCGCGGCCAGCCTTTTGTCTTCGGTGGCGATCCCAAGGTCAGCGCTGCGAAGAAGCTGCTCACTTTGCATTCGCGCCGAGCTCTCACCACTGCCATGGGGCTGGCTTTCCACAATACAGGGCAACAAGATTGTGTACGGTCAAGGCAAGACCATTGTTGTCCGTGATCTCGAGGTTTGTCTGCGCGCGTGCACTTGCTTGCTTTTTGGAATTTGAGCTGTTGGTCGCATGAAACCACTCCTCGGCCTCATCAGTGACATCCTTGGCCGTGACGGTGCAGAACCCCATCGAAGGTTACACGTACAATGAGCACTCTGTCGCAACAACCGTGGCCAAGTTTGCCCCCTCGGGCTTTTACATTTGCTCGGCCGACGTCTCGGGCAAAGTCCGCATCTGGGATACCACCCAGGTCGGTGTCAGAAGGATATCTCCTCGGTCCAGACACTTTGCAAGAATCGCACCCAGCGCTCACAGTCCACGATGAACCTCAGGAAGAACATGCCATGAAGTACGAGTACCAGGCCCTCTCCGGACCCATCAAGGGTGAGATCGTGACACTGCATCTCATGGTGGTGGCCGCCATGCCGCTATGCCAGTGCCTCTCACCTGCCCATGGCGTGCAATGCAACGACACCCCGCCACTCCAGATCTCGCCTGGAGCGAAGATAGCAAGCGCATCGTTGTTGGTGGTGAAGGCCGCGAAAAGTTTGGCCACGCCTTTCTTTGGGACAGGTACGCCCACGAATTTTGAGGCTCTCCTTACTGAATTCACGCAAATCGGTGGTTGACGCGATGGCCTTTGTATCCACCCTTCCCCCCAATGCATCTGGAAACCACCAACAGCGGATCGTCGGTCGGCAACCTTGACGGCCATAGCAAGCCCGTGAACAGCATTGATTTCAAGCAGGTGTGCCACGCTTGTCCATCTGACCTGTCGATGGGGACTTGCCTGTGCAATGGAACACTGACAAAGCCTCATCTATTACGGTGCTTGGTCGCTCGTCCAGACGCGCCCCTTCCGCGTTGTGACAGCCTCAGAGGATACCGACTCTGGCTTCTTTGCTGGTCCTCCTTTCAAGCTGGACCACCTGAACCAGGTACGATGTGTGCCCCTGAGGCCTCATTGGGGTGGCCTTGCCCCCTCACCTCTATGTTACCCCGTTGTGCAGGAGCACGACAGCTTTGTCAATGCTGTCCGCTTTGCCCCCGACGGCACCAAGTACATTACTGGCGGAGCTGACGGTACGTGGCGGGACAGCACGTCGTCTAGAGATGGTTGCATTCCACGTAGAAAGCCATCTTCGCACTTGCGGTTTCCTGCCTTGGCTGACCGTGGCCATGCTTGCTGCTCCACCACAGGTCGTGCTTTCATCTTTGATGGCAAGGAGGGCAAGCTGATTGGCCAAGTCAATGGTGATGAACCCGCGCATAAGGGTGGCATCTACGGTGTGGCTTGGAAGAAGGACAGCTCCCAATTTGCCACTGCCTCAGCAGACAAGACCGTCAAGGTACGACGTTTGCGTTTGAGTTTGGGGTCGAGAGGGGGAGGGGTTCCCGTTGGATGTTTGTTGTGTGGACGGTGCACTGGCAACATCATGCCCAGGCTCCTCCACCAAAGTACACCGACGCCTTGGCTCACCCCCGTTGCGCTGGTCTTGGTGTGGTAATGTTGTTGCTGTATCTCATTTGATGGTAGCTCTGGGATGCCGAAGGCAAGCTGCAGGCAACCTTCACCTTCCCCAATGAGGTCGAGTTCCAGCAACTTGGTTGCCTGTGGCAGGGTGAGGAAATTCTTTCGGTGGGCCTCAATGGTGAAATGACCATCCTGGACCCGGCTAACCCTTCAGAGCCCAAGCGCAAGTTCCAGGTTGGTGTTTTGGGATGAGATGAAACCGTTTGTTGCAGTTTGCATCCCAGAGCGCCCTCTCATTTCGACCCTTGCGCCACCATCCAGGGCCACAGCAAGGCCATCACGGCCCTGGCAGTAGACGCGGATGCTGGCCGCTTCTTTGGTGGTTCTTACGACGGCCGAGTCTCCAAGGTCGATGCGGCCACCGGCAAGGTTGAGCTCTTCCAGGGTCATCCTACCCATGGCATTACCTCCCTGGCATACGAGAATGGCAAGCTGATTGCTGGCAGTCTGGACGATCGCGTCACCGTGACCGCCGTGGATGGCACTGCTTTTGGCACCGAAAGCTTTGCTTGCGAGAGCCAGCCCAAGGCCGTGGCGGTGGCCAGCGGCGTGATTGCCGTCGCCTGCTTTAACCACGTACGTGTGCTTCTCTTGCCCATTTGACTTTGTTTGTTTGTTTTTTGTGTTTTTTTTTTTTTTGTGCGTTGTTTTCTTTCTGCCAAGCTTTCTTGGGCGCTCCTGATGCTTCTGCATGTGCCACGGCCTGCTCATGGTCTCGACACCACGCCGCTATCGTCTCGGCCACATTGAAACGTCCTGGGCCCTTGTAGGTGATGGTTATCAAGGGGGGTGCAGTTGCTGCCACCAAGAGTGTAGACTTTGAAGGCAGTGCGGTTGCCGTCAGCAATGATGGCAGCCAAATTGCCGTGGGTACTCAGGCGGGCAAGATTGTCATTTACTCGGCCTCACTCGAAGAGCAGAAGACGCTCGATGCCACGGGTGCCGTGACTTGCCTGCAGTTCTCCCCGGATGGCCAGTACCTGGCGTCTGGTGATGCTGGGCGCAACCTCTACGTCTTTGAGGCCTCGGGTGACTGGAACCTGGTAAGCCTGTGTCTCTGTTGGTGTCGGTGCCCGTTGTTCTATTGTTCTATTCTATTGTTCTGTTGTTCTGTTGACCTGCCTGTGTGTACATGAGCGTGCCTGTTGGCGAGGGGTGCAGCGTGCAACGTGTCAGCAGCAATGCCCTCTTCAGCCGTCGATGGGCTATTGTTCGCCAGGGCTCACGATCATCTTGGCATGTCCCACGTAGAAAATGAGCCGCTGGAAATATCACACTTCCAAGATCAACTCGCTGGCCTGGTCGCCCGATTCGCAGCATTTGGCCACGTAAGCAGCACCA